TAGATTATGAGGAATCTAAAAAGCCAGAAACTATTCCAAAAAAATAAATAGGTATCCTATTTGCAATTATCATTAGTTCAGAAGGTTCAATTAAATATAATGATGAAAATGCAGTTCCTAATCATTAATATCAAACTAGAAAAATAATTAAAAAGAATTGAATTATTTTAATCAATTGTATTCGATTCCTCATTAATGTCCTCATTTTATAAATTTTAATTCTTAACATTATTTATTTTTTTATAATCATTAATTTTTGAATTACATTAATATCAAATAATTCAAGTATACTAATTCTCTTATTCTATTGTTTAACATACAAAGTTAATTCTTTTCAAATCAATTAATTTCATTAATCAAAAAAGTAATAAACTTGTATATATATTTGAAAATTAAAATTAATTATAATTTTTATAATAATTATCCTTATTATTATATAATACTAATAAATCAAGAAATTAGATTAGATCTATAATTCTTATATCATTTCAATAAATTAATAATAGATACTTATTTATAAATATATATCTATTAATAATTTTTTCTATATTATTTATTCATATCTCTAAATGCATACATCTAATTGATAATTTGATTAAGAACTTAAAAGCTTAATTTGAAAGTATTTTTTCATCTCAAAAACTGATTGATTATGGAATCTCTTCTTTAAACTATATTTATTCTTCTATCAAAATCTATATGTTTCATAATTAATTTAGAATAAATTTATAATATAAAGGAATTAGAGAATAAAATTATTTTGTTATTGATAGATATTAATAACATCATTATTTAGAATACATTTTAGAACTTCCATATATATATTTCATTTTTATTAATAATTCTATTAGTATTTTTAGTTGATAGTTCTTTATACAAAATTTATAATAAAATGGCCTAATTTTATAATAATTTGCATTTTTCTTTATTTCTATTACTCTTTAGCTTGCTTAAGATTTGATTAAGGAAGAGTAATGTGTCAGGAAACTCAAAAATTCATTTATAAATGAAGATCCATATATATGATAATAAGTTTGTTTAGAATTATGTAATGAGATATAAGAAGGAGAGTATTTGAAAATGTAAAAGATAGTAAAATTACAAAAATAGCATTCTCTCTTGTTTTTAGAATGTAATGAATAAGATGTTATCTTAATTGATTGAATTCGCGCTCTTTTTAGTAATAAGAAAAAGATTTTAATTTTAAAATTAAGTAATTCTAAATATCTATTATTAAAAGATAGAACTGTTAATATTTCTTATGTTTTTGGATTGTAAGTAGTTTGTTGTATTATTTTTTAACTCATTTGATTGATTTCATTCTTATTTAACTTTTTTGTTGAGCAAGCAAGCCAATGGATTTGCCTGTTAACTGGAAGGTTGGATCTAATTCTCTTACTCACCTAAATGCTTTTTAAGTTATGGCCAGAAACCATATTTGATTTTGAATTCTTTCTTTTGGTTTTCAAATTCCTATTCATATTTTATACTAATTAACTTGTCTCAACTTTTTATATTCCTCCGCTGCTTTCTCTTTTAAGGCCTAATTTGAACCCAATTCGAATTTAATAGTGCGATCTATCTATGTTCCATTGTACTCAGGATGGGTCATCTCAAGTTGTTATCTCATTTGTTTTTGGAAGCTAGTAGACATTATTAAATATTAAACATTATCATCACAGGTGGAGGAGGTTAGGGTACAGGGATTTTTTCATTATCATTTATGATCACAAAACCATTTTCTTAGAAGTATTTTTTATTATTGATTTTCTCTTTCTCTTTCACTAACCATTTTAGATTGATCAATTTAATAAGTTCTTCTCTTGTTCTTTTAGGATATTGTTATTAAAGTAGAACGAGTTCTTCATCACAAAATTTACGATAAGCAGAGCTTTACTTTTGTGGGCCAGACTAATCAGGTTGCTATTACTTAGATTTCTATTTTGACATTTTAATTAAATTACTAAAATTAAACAACTATTTTATTTAATTTCTTCTGACTAAATAGATGTATGCTTTAAAAAAAATACTTATTATGAATAAGATTTTGAATTTTATTGTAATATTAATAAAAATAGAATTAATTAGAAGGATACTCATAAATAAAGATATATTCTTTAATTGATATTATTTTTACTATGAAATGAGTATTAGTTGGATAAAAATGTTATTATGATTTATTATTTATTTAATTAAATTTATCTAAATGAGTGAATCAAGTAAATAAGATAATACATTTAGACTCCACTCTCTTTTATGCTGGAATTACACTAGCATCTGGATTGATCACAGATTTTCTAATTAATAGATTGAACAAGAAGGAAATAGTTGAAGATTTTAAACCAATTAGAAGTCTAACTTTAAGAAAAAGATCCTTTGGTACTTATTAAATATTAATATAGTCAACTCAAAACAGGCTCCAGTTCCAGAGGCACTATTAAACTCTGAGAATCCATTACTTGATGAAATCAAATTCTTAAACAGTGCAACATGTGATATAGAAAGAGTGAATCATCTTTCACTTGGATTGGATGATGAATTTCCAAATATTAAATCACCATTATTAGGAGAAGGTAATTTAAGATCAGTCTTTGGAGGAGGAGGATTTTTACCAGATGATGCCTTTATCTATTGTGGATCTTATGTAATTAATACAGCTGTGTTTGGTCCTGGTAAAAGAATAGATTAGACAAAGAAATGGTTGAGAGCAGGACCACGTAAATCATTGTTCTTTGATCCAAAAACAGTGAAGGTATAAATAGTCTAATGTATAGGCTGCAATAGTAACATGTGGAGGATTATGTCCAGGATTGAATGTAGTAATAAGAGAATTATATATGTCATTGCATTACAATTATGGAGTTTAAGATATATATGGAATAAAGTATGGATATAAAGGATTTTATACATATGATTGGATAAAGTTTGATGCAAATTATGTGAAAAATATTCATAATTTGGGAGGAACTATATTAGGATCATCAAGAGGAGGATTTGATTTAAATAAAATTGTAGAGGCTATAGTTAATCATGGAATTAATTAAGTATTTTGTTTAGGTGGAGATGGAACTCATGGAGGAGTCTTAGAATTGTTTAAAGAATTAAGAAAGAGAAAACTTAAGATATCAATTGTTGGTATTCCTAAAACTATAGATAATGATATTGCTATTATTGATGAATCATTTGGTTTTGAAACAGCTGTTGAAGTAAATAAAATAGTATATATATAATTAGGAAGCAATCAATGCTATTAAATCAGCATATGTAGAAGCTAATTGTGCAGAATATGGTGTGGGATTAGTAAGACTAATGGGTAGAAATGCTGGATTCATTGCTATGTCTGCTTGTAATGCTTCAAGAGATGCACATGTTTGTTTGATACCAGAATTTAAATTTGAATTATATGGAGATAGAGGCCTTTTGGAATACTGTTATTAAAGACTTAAGAAGAAGGGCACTTTAGTTCTTGTAATTGCTGAAGGAGCTGGCGATGCTATGTTAGATTATAAAGTCAATGTTGTGGAAACTGATGCTTCAGGTAATAAGAAATCTTAGGATGTTGGAGTAATTGTTAAAGATGAGCTAACAAAATATTGTAAAAACAAAGGAATGGGTATTACACTTAAACATATTGATCCTACATATATGATCAGAACAGTCCCTGCTAATCCTCATGACAAGATCATGTGCACTTAATTAGCTTAGAATGCTGTTCATGGAGCAATGGCTGGTTTCTCTGGATTTACTGTTGGTCATGTTAATAACAGATTAGCTTATATTCCTATTGAAGAATTGTTATCTGGAAAGTATTCTAATAGAGTTGTAGCTGACAGTAGAGAATGGTAAAGACTTTTAGCAAGTACAGGTTAACCTTCATTCTTGAATAATGAAGAGCAGATGATCTAATAAAAATAATAATAATAAATTTGAGAATATTGATAAAGCATATCTATTAAAAAACAAAATTTATAACATTCTTTATGAACAATATTCGCCAATCAAATGAACTATAATTTATTAAGAGAAAGTCACCTTATATATTATAGGAAGCACCACAAAAGCTTGTCAAAATATCAATCATGTCTTAAACTTAATTTAAAGACTTTCTTGAATCTTTATCACTCAATTTCACCCAACTTTGTCATAATCTACAATAAATGATCACTCTATATAATGTTCAAATATTTCATGAAAATGATGATGATTTGCTCCTTACTAACAGTGATACTGATGCATTTACTAAATTCTAATAAGACTGGCTAATTAAAACCATCTGTAAAGTTGGAGTCAATCATCAATTCTGGCCTGAAATTGCACAAGTCTTAAATAAATCTCTTTAAGAAGTTAAAGCCTTTTGGATAAATCTATAAGATAATTGGACAAATGAACAAGACAATAAGTTGACTCAATTACGAAATTAATAGCTAAATTGGCTAGAAATAGCCTTGAGGCTTGATAAGAACAAAACAAATTGTAAACATAGATGGAATAATGTACTAGATCCTAATTTATGCAAAACTCCTTTCACTATTTAAGATGACATTCTATTACTCTAAAAAGCTATTTAATTAAACTTCGATTGGAAGAAAATATAAAAGATTATATAACCAAAAAGAAGTCAAGCAGATCTCATTTCTAGATTTATCAAATTATAATCTTAATATAACAATATTGATAATCTTATCTAAAGAGTTCAATTTACAATTGCTCAACTCCCTAAATATGATAAAAATTCAATGCGAATTCTACCTCAATAATCAAAAAAAATTTAAAAGACTGTTGTGGAATATGAAACACTTTCCATTCTAGATCTTAATTTATTTGATGCAATGTCACTTTAATTCTGTCTAGTAAAACATGATTAGATATTTTTTGTTACTCTTGAATACATGCAATAGTTAGTTAATTTGAAGTTAAATTAAAGAAAACTATTACAATTTATGAAATGATTATTATTACAAACAATTAATTTTACATAAGATTCTAAATATTTTTATTAATCATTCTCCAAATTTCTAACGAACATATTCAAAAATCTATAGTGCTTCATTTTATCTCTTTAGAAAGTTTAATGTTTTAGCTATTAAATTATTAATAATTAAATACCTTTATTAGTTAAATATTCTGGTTTCTCTACATACTTTAATGCAGATTCAAAACATTCTAATGCTTATTAATATCTTTCTAAAGATAGTAAAGTGATGCCTAAAATTATAATTCATATAACCTTTTTAATATAATGAATCAGGTGAATTAGGTTCAATGGCTAAAGCAGCATCAAAATACTTCAAAGATTCTTAATATCTTTCTAAAGAATGTAAAGCAACTCCTTTTTGATAAGCAAATTTTATACCAATATTATGATTTATTGAGGATGAATTTTAATCTAATCCAAGTGCTGCTAAATAACAATTTAATTCTTAAACAGAATTTCCTAATTTATGTAAAATTGCCCCTTTAATTTTATTAAAAAAATTACCTTTCAATTACAAATATTGTTATTTAGTATTTATGTCTAGAGCTTTATTTATAATTTCAAGTGCTTTGTCGTATTTTTATGATTAATATAAAGCTTAAGCTAAAAATTATAATAACAAATAACCTTTCTTCAGATAAAAATCTGGATCAACTTTAAGTTCTAAAGCTTTATCATAACTTTAAATAGCTTCATCAAAATGTTCAAGGGCTGATAAGCAGAAACCTATTAATTTAAATTTCTAATTCTTACCTTTGTGATAATATACTGTTTCTATCTTTAAATCTAATCTTAAACAATCATTAAAGCAATCTACTGCTTCTTCATACTACTCTAAATGCAATAAAGAAAGACCTAATTTTTAGATTAACTTTTATTACCCTTTATCAAATATGCTTACTCAAGATTGGAATTAATTTTCAAAGCTTAATTAATAAAATTTAAAGCATCCTAGAAATTATTTTGTTTATATAAATCAACAGCTAAAATAAATTTATAATTTAACCTGATGTTAGACACTCTAATGCTAGATGTTCTTAATTTACATTTTAGGGTGGATTTTTTTATTCTTAAGTTTTATTACTATTTTATCTTTCCATAGAACTTTGTGAAATTTATTCTAATGGTTTAATTGAAATAGTCTGAGAATTCAAATATGGTTAAAAAAACTAATCAAAAGACTTTTCAAATTTTTTTATCTCATCTAATTAAATACCTAAAAAATAGAATAAAATATATACCTATATTGTTGTTTTTTACAGATTTATTCAAAGTAACGTTTCTCCATTATTTTAATTATTCTAATTGATTTTGAATTTATGAACAGTCTTGATTTCTCAATTATGCTTGTAATTTAATCAACCTATCTTTTTCACTTGAGATGAATTTCATATTTTTTTTGAATTAATCTATTATAATTTACATTTTATTTTATTCTGATTATTCTAAATTTTGTAAGATAAGAGTGCAATCAGATAACATTTATATAATTTGATTGAATCTCAAACAATCACTTTAATGTCTAGAATGTTATTTAGAAAAACAATCAAAACATATTTATTTAGGTTTATCACATTCTTAATTGAAACAGTATCCAATTATTGGTTCATTAGAATGATCTACTATTGTGCAAAGATAACCATAATCCATTTTTATTAAAATAATTAATTTCTTTTATTTTTTAAAAAAGATTTTATTTGTTTCTAATTCTATTAAAAATTGTTTTTTATTAATATGTACAATTTAAGATGGTCAAAGATATTATATAATAAATATTGATCATAGTTAAATGCAGTGAGTATCTTAAACTTTAAAGAATAAATTAGGCATTCCTGTAATTTCATTGAAATCCTCATTTAAAATCCCTAAATTTATTATATTAATAATTACCAAATATAAATGGAGGTTTAATAATATAACCTTAGGCATTTTAGATATCAACCATTTTTGGTCTATAAGCAGTACTAAATCTGCCTAATCCAATTACATTATCTGAAAATTTAACTTTAGTGTTCACAATGAATTATGGAATATAAAGATTTTAATCTATTGGTACTTATACTCCACATTAATTTAAAATAGATTAAACTTATTATAATGTTATATCATCATTATCTAATATAAATTTTGATAATTTACATTCAAATACAAAAATACTTGTACTACTTTAATCAGAGGATATCAAATAAACTTTAATATTTCCTGATTCAGACATGAAAACCTTTGCATTATCAACATTAGAAACACTTAGAAACCCATTATAAATGAGTCTTTAATGTTATGCTAATTTACATTTTGCCCATCTATAACATTCTTTACAAAAACTACTAATAACTTTATCTGATGAAAGTGAAACTTCAGAATTGGATAGATTGAGTTATTCAAAACCTTCAAAATATTATTTAATGTAGGCATTAAAGTCATCACTTGAATGTTCTTGTAATTTAATTCCCTTAAATCCAAATTCCTATTTAATTCTCAATATTATTATACAGTCTTTATAAGATTATCTTTATGCTAATTAATTATTTCATTATCTAAATCTATTTTTGTATTCAAAGTTGTCAAACAATATAAAGAAGTAAATGCATCTGTGTTTTATATTGTATTGTTATCACAGGTAAGGTAAAGATGTTATAAAAATATAGGATCGAATTATTTTGGTTAATCTATATCAGATGGTCTTCTAATGCCTAAGATAATATTATATTATACCCATTACAGTAAATCTGGTTTCAGAATTAACACTTTAAACAACTTTCCATTTGAATCCTAATTCTTTTAATTTAGTTGTAATTTCTTTATTAGCTTAAAATGAATCATTCTAATTATAATGATATAAAGACATTCTAATTTCTTAACAAGGATCAATTTCCCAAATAAATTAAATAATAATTTTGAGTAATTCTTAAAATTATAATGGATCTATTGTTGAAAAGTGACTTAATACTAATCTTCTTTCTTATAAAGATTAATCTAAATAACATTATCCTAATGCTAATAATTATGATTTTTAATATATTCCTAAACAAAAACTATCATCTTATTAATCATATTAATTTTGCATTAATTAAAATTCTCCTCTCCATGACTTTTTAAAATCTTCATTAATATTATTTAAATGATCAATAACTTTTTCATCATTAAGTTTACATTTTATAACTTTTAATGTATCATCATCTTCAGTAATTCCATGTGATTAATCAACTATAGGTCCAGCTGTATTAATTGAATGTTATTATTTTTATTCAGATAATGGAATACTTATTTATGCTTATTATTTATTATTAGAATCATTTGGTGTTACTTTAACTGAATTTTATTTTTAAGGTGTAGCACTTCCTTATTTATTTGGTTATCTAGTTGGAATACTTTTTGGAATTGAATTAATAATTTCATTTTAATCATGCTATTTATAAATTATTCTCTAAAAATGATTTAAAACATAAATTACTTTTTAATTTTAACTTTATTCTTATCTTTTTGGAGGTCTTATACGTCCTGGATGAATTGGTTTTTCTGGACTCATTTTAATTTGATCTTTTGAATTAGCTTGATTGTGTATTGATTTATCATCTTTAATAATTGATTAAACTTCTTCTTATATTATTATTTCACAATTTTTAATTCTTTTTAATAAAGGTTTGGATATGAATTAAACAATTTTATTAGGATCATCAGCTGGTTTAGTTATAGCAACAAAGAATGGATCTGGTTTAATTGAAAATTGATAATAATTTGATAGTATTGAATTTGTTATGTATTAAATATCTTTTCTCATCTAAAAAATTAATATGATATTTATACCTTAATCAAATAATTTTCTCTTAAGTATAAATATGGAAGAGAAATACTCTCATGGGAATGAATATTTACTAAGAATTTCATTAGATATTATCTCCAACCTAAAATTTGTTCTACTACATTAATTGAAAGAATCCTTAAATGTGTTATTAATTCAGCACTTTTTTGTAATAGTTATTCATCTCCAGGATAATCCTATAATTATTAGATATGATTAATTAAAAATGCTAAACATTTTTCTCTAGATTCAACAGCTTACATACAAAGCTTATTTATTATTTATATAATACTTATATATGAGATTTCTTTTATTACATTTCTTCTATTTCAAATTAAATTGCTTAATTATTTTTTGGTAATGTTTGCAAACACATCAAAAATAACTATCTAAATAATATGTATATTCATATTACCTATGAAACTCAGGTATATTATAATAATCTTAAACTTCAATTAATTTAGATGTATTATTAATTTACTTTGGTTTCTATTTTTCTACGGATTCATTTTTATTTTAATTTTAAACATAAAATCTATTATTCCAATTTTCTTCCTAAATGAATCATCAAATAATCAATACTTTCTTCTTTAATTAATTCATAACAATTAAATGTCGAGATTTTGTATTTACTACTTACTCCTATTTTGATTTACGATGTTCCATAAATTATTGTTCAAACATAAATATATAATAATAATATATATATTTATATAACTGTTTTAATTATTATCCTTCTTTTTTATCACATTAATTATCTTAAGTAGAAGCATTTTTTGAGTTTATATAATTGTGTCAATATTCAATATCCATTAAAATAATAAATCCTCTTTATTTATATATATATATTTCTTATAGCCATATAAAATGATTTATGAACTAAGATTTTTACGTATAATAATTTAAATAATTAAAATGAAGGCAATGTGTCCATTACTTAGACGAGATAGTTTTAGTGAGGAGGACCAGCTATAATAACACAGTGAGTGTGATTAAGTTGAATTTTAGCTAACCAATAACTGGTGTTAAGCTGAGGCTGACACCGATCCCAATATAATCGATTTAAAAAGCCCCTCAATTAAAAAGAAAAGACAAGGCCGATACAAGAATGTACCCTATACCTTTGGTCGACACTTCAGGAATTGGATTGTGGCTGAGGTTGAATCCATAAGATGTCCAGTTGTTTAAAAATTCATCTCCAAACGTAAGACTAATCCTAGATATCATGACAGTTTTAAGGATTTTAATGAATTATTCCAACACTCAGGTATTGGTAGATAACTAGGTTAAATCTTTTTTGGACAAAAGAAATGGGTATAATACTTACTTGGAAATGAAAGAGTAGATGGTTTCTAAATATATTTTGAAGTTGAAAGATCTTATTATGAAGCCTCCATAAAAGGAACTAAAATCACTGAACAAAAGGTGAGAAATCTTTGATAAACTTATTTATATAAATTTTGCTTGTGCATTTTTTTATATATTTTTATATCTATAAATTAAATATCTCTTTATAATATATTGATCCTAAATTTATAATCTTGAATCACAAATAAATTTCAATCTCAAAATGGAAACAGAATATTTTATAATAACAAATTAAGAAATAAGAAAATTTAATATAATAAGACTTAAAAACATAATTAGTTAATATAAAATGATTAATATCATTCAGATTTTATTATTTCTTTTTCTATATTTATATAAATGTTAAGTATATACATCAGTATTCTCTTGTAACTATGATCAAGATGTTATATTGGAGTGAGAAGGCATACAATTTACTATTTATACTTTATTCTTGAATTTTTTATATAGGTTTACACTTTAAGATATTTTCAATTTTTAATGTATCTCTATTTATGAATTATATTTTATTGAATTATTTAAAATATTTATAAAACCAGCTTTTATAATATTTTTATCAATCATAATATCCCCTCCTCCATGAATCATATCTTTGCATATGGATTAATCTTTTTGCATATCTACATCAACAAAATTCTACTATATTATTCACCAATTTATATAGATCTTGTATTTCATTTTTTAAAGTTCTCTAATAAATTCCATTTCTATATGCAATCATATAAATTAATTTTACTGTTAAATTTTTATTATAAATTTTAAATTCGAAAACTTGATCTGCATATATAAAACAAACCTTTATTAATTATTGTTACTCATTTATACAACAAATGTAATTACATCAGAATACATGTCTTCTTTTCTATTATGTACACTACTACTACTACTTAGTATAAAGAGTATTATTTATGATCATCTAATAAGTAAGGCAAGAGTGAAATAAATAATGGAATAGAAAAAATGATAATATTTTCAATATGGGATTGGTGAATATCTTAGAAAAGATCAGTCATCTTATTTATTTTATACAATATTAATAATAAATAAATTATAATATTTTAATATTTTAACTTAATTAGTTATATATATATATTTTCAAGAGTCAAATACATTTTGAATTAATTATGGATCTTCTACTTCAGTCACATCAGCTGATTATTTTTCTTGCTGTTCTTAATACATTAATTATTTATTATCCATATTTTCAGACTTAGTTTAATTTTAATTGATTCCTTTCCAATCTATTTCAAATCGAGTTATACGGGGTTTATTATTGAAGATTTAACGTGAAATATCTTCTATAATAATTTTAGGGGGATCGTTCTCTATATTCTCTGAAGAGGTATAGGTAGTGTAAATATAGTAACCTACTCTAAAGAATTCGTTTTCTTTGTAGGAACAAGTAAGAATGAAGGCTGTAATACCCAGTAATTCATTTTGGGGAATTTTTTACCAATCAGGAGGATTACATTCTAATGTAAAATGTTTAGCTCCTGCTTAAAGAGGTCCCATTGAGAACTAATCAAGTATTTAATCATGTGTCTCATCTTTAGGTGAACCAATAAAGAGAAGCCTACAATATAAATATTTGATATACATCCATTCAATTTCATCTTCAATGTCAACAATAACATCAAAGTAAATATCAATATTTATAGGACTTTAAAATGGCTATGGCTTATCATCAATGACAATGTTGGTTATGTTGACTAAAGACATTAAACTTTTAAATTAATTATTTAATGAATTAATAGAGGAATAATATTAATTTCAATTAGGTACATAGGTTTTGGCTTTCTGTTTCATTTCCATTATATTTACTTTTTACTTTTCTGAACCAAAAACTTTAGGTTATTTTTGTGTTTCAGATTTAATGTTGGATGAATCTCTAGAAATTGCCATTTCTGCCACTTTTGATGGAGTACCTGAAATTCTTATATTATTTGTTAATTAAGTTTCTGTAAATGTTTAAGTTTAAGTATGAGCATAGGAATATTATTCACTTTCTTCAATATCAGATGCAGCAATTCCTAATAATTTTGACATCTTATAAACTTAAATTTTTTATATATAAGGATTCAAACCAAATAAATAATTGTATTGTAATATTTAAGTATTAATTAATGCTAATAGTATATTATAATAAACATTAAGAGAATTTGTAAATTGAGCTGCTATTACAATCAATAAAAATGGTGTATAACATATTAATTATGTAAATAATGCTACTTTAAGAGTCTTAATAAAATTTTAACGAAATTGTATTGTAAAATCTTAAGCACTATTATCTACTTAATTATTAATTAATACATTCTAAGCATTTTAATAGATAAGCCTGTAAAAATTGATATTACTATCAATATGAATGTTAAAGGTGCAAATAATACAATAACTTAAAATCTGTTATTTGGTGGATAAAATATTCTATAATATGAATCATAGACAAATAAATTTAACAAATTAAATATGATAGGCACAATAATTGCAAAAAATACAAATTATTTTTAAGATTTCTTCATTTCATCAAGAAATTCTTTTGTTTAGGTTTATAATAGAAAAAAGGTTAAGAATTATAGTATAGCCATAAATGCTAATGATTATTGTAATGTTAATGAAAATGTTATCCATGTACCAACACATATAGGATGTATATCAAAAGTTTCTTTACATAAAAACAAATTAATAATTTCTGCTGTAAGTGTAAGGATTGCAAAAAAGTACATTAAAAATATAAAGTTATCAATAGGATTTTTCTTTCTAGTTATAGTCAAACCTGCTCTAATCAATCCAGTGAACATATTAATTGACATAATAATCAATTAGATAACATTCAAGTAATTTAACATATTATAAATTAAATAAATTCTTTATAATTTTCATTCAAATCTGTAAACAAAAAAGAATAAAGATATTGATAAATTGTAATTGTTATCATAAATATTTTATTATTATTATTATGTTTATTATAAGGATCAGAAATCCTCTCTATCTAATATTCTGTTACATTCAGCCAGAACCTTATTTCTTTCTCTTCCAAGATAATATGTTTCACCTAAATTGCACATATCAAAGTATTTTTTATTATGTTTCAAAAATTTAATTGGTTAAAAGTATAAATAAGCAATTGGCCAAACAACAAAATATGGAGCCCATGAAAATCTCTTAGTCTAAAACATTCTAACCATTGAAACAGCTGCAGCACATGCCCAACCATCAACAATAGAAGAATAAGTCACATCATAACGATATCTAATTTATAGTATTTTTAAATTCAATACTCTCTTCTAACAACATATCCCCAATCTCTTTCTTCTTATGTTTTGTAAAAATTAGTGTCAAAGTCAGCAATAAATTTCTAAACAAATGCCTTTCTTAATTTTGCAGCTTGCATCTCTTCAGCTGTATATCCACGTTCATATTCCATTTCTTCTTTAGCATTCACATATCTACGAATTGCTCTAGACATTTTTTATTTAATTAATATATATATATATATTATTTCTCAAGATATGGATCCAGGCAAATAATCAATCAAAAGCAGTATAAAAGGTGGAATATAACCTAAAACATTTGGTAATACAGGATAAAATCCTAATATGTCTGGTTAATTGGGTTTAGAATAGAAACCTAAATCTAGATTTGTATAACCTAATATGACTAATTATGCACCAATACCAGCATCATAAAAAGTCTCTATTAAACCAGTAGACATGAGTTAATAATCAAATAAAAGAAATGAGGATGTTAATTTAGCTACTTTTCTTGTACCAGATGGAATGACTAAAGAATAATATTAATAATAAAGTGCTGTTGTTTCTTAAAACTTTTAGATAGTTGATTTATATCCTGTTTAAATTAAAGATAATGATATTAAAGATGAATAAGATACTGCTGCAAGTTAAGAATAAGAGGAAGTGACTCCTTATTAAATAAGTGTTTATCATTATAGAGCTCCAAGATAAAATTTTAATATTGTTTTGAGTATTAAAGATTCTGATGATAGAAATACAAGAAAAGAGGTTAATTATTAAGAAACAGAAATAGGAAAATTTGGTAATGCTGCAGTTAATATGATTTATCGATAAAAATTATTGTACTTACCTTAAAAGTCTATAAAATTAGAATAATAATAAGGTAGAGTTTTACCTGTTGCACTTGAAACATTACCATAATCATAAGATAATTTTAAAAGAATTTCAATAAAATTATGTGATCAAGTATAAGCCATTTTATAATAAATAAAAGAAAATACTTCATAATTTGATTAAGTTGTCAAAGAATTATCAAAATATTCTGTTGTTTCTTAAGTAAAATAAATAGTTATTGATAAATCATATAATAAAATTTTGGATAGATTAAATGTATTACAATAAATAATGAATTAAAATTTAAATAAAATAAATGAACTTATTTAACTTACTGAAATTTAAAATGAGAAAGTTCCTGCAGTATCTATGTAAAATATGATTGATTTTATCATAAAATTGCCATAATAATAAAGCATTGAATTTTCATAACTTAAATATGCTTCATTTTATACATGTTAAATTATGTGTAAATAATTGGAAGTACAAGAAGAATAATGTACTAGTTGTTCTTAATTTGTTATTTAATTTAATTAAGGTGTTGATGCTGTACAAATTCTATATGATTTTGCTAAATTAAAGATACCAAAATTATATAATAAATTAGATATAAGTAATAATAAATTAAATTTAATTGTGTTACCATATTTAGAATTTAGATAAAAAAATGATTTTATTCTTTAAGATATATAGAAAGTATCATTGAATTATAATTTATAGTATTTAATAAAAATGTAAGAGAAAAAGTATTTCATTATGAAAACTCTAATGTAAGAAATTATGACTAAAGAAGAAGTGGAATAATTAGATTAAAATTATATCTTAAATTAATATGCAACATATAGAAATCAAATAATTAGAAATCCAAATAAATTTAATTATGAAATTCTTAAAAAAAGACCACTTTTCATTTTATAATAAATTAAATTGTAACAATTCTTATGAATTAGACTCTTTCATGCTTAATTATAAATTGAAGATTTATTTTATAAAATCTAAAATTTGTAAAATGTATAT